TCAGCCTTATGGCTAATGAGGGCGTATACACTTTAACATGGTGAAAATGTGTCTCATCGATATATTGACACGGTCAAAATGGTTCTAGACCCCATGTTTCTTTGGACCAAATTTGTTTCATAAAATTTTGATTTCATCCAAACTTTGGCCATCTTATTATTTCTTCCAAACTTAGTTCAAGTTCGAAGATGGGGAATATCGGTCCACTCCTTCTGGTACCTCCCACACAGGGGAGGTACCAGAAACTTACGTTCTAGTTTTTTATTTCGATATCCTCCGCAGGTGATATGATTACAAAAGAGTCTTAAAACCAAACCCAAAACGCGGAACAAATTGCATAACTATTTTAATATAAAAAAGGGGGTTATATGGGGACTACCCCAAAAAGGGGGTGCATATTAATAATTTTTCGTAGGGAAATTTGTTACCATATACGACTACAAAATAACAAATTTCAGCGAATTCGGTTGAAAAACGTGCTCAAGAACCTCAAAATAGCGAAAATTGGGGGTACCCTTATATGGGGGCAACCAGAAAAATTTGACCTATATCTATAATTTTCTGTGGAAATATTTGGCACCCAATAAGAACCATATGTACCAAATTTCAGCGAATTCGGTTCAAAAACGTGCTCAAGAACCCCAAAATACCGATATTTGGGGGGTACCCTTATATGGGTGCTATCCGAGAAAATGGATTTATATTCATAATTTTTTGTGGAGAGATTTAGTACCTAATAAGAACTCAACATACTAAATTACAGCTAATGCGGCGGATAAATACGATCAAGACCCCCAGAATACTGTCAATTAGGAGGTACCGTTATATTGGGGCTACCAGAAAAAGTGGACCTATATTTATAATTTTTTGTGGAGACATTAAGTGCCCAATAAGAACCCAATGTTGAAAATTTCAGCGAATTCGGTTGAAAAACGTGCTCAAGAACCGATATTTGGGGGGTACCCTTATATGGGGGCTATCCGAAAAAATGGACCTATATTCATAATTTTTTGTGGAGAGATTTGGTACATAATAAGAACTCACAATACTAAATTACAGCTAATTCGGCGGATAAATATGATCAAGAACCCCAAAATACTGTCAATTAGGAGGTACTGTTATATGGCGGCTACCAGAAAAAGTGGACATTAAGTACCCAATAAGAACCCAATGTTGCAAATTTCAACGAATTCGGTTGAAAAACGCGATCAAGAACCCCAAAATACCGAAAATTTGGGGGTACCCTTATATGGGAGCTATGCCTAAACGTGGACCAATAAAGCCCATCATCGAACTTGACCTGCCTGCAGACAAAAGACGACTCTATGCAAAATTTTGGCGATCTATCTCAATTCGTTTAGACGCTAGAGTGATTACAACAGACAGACGGACAGACAGACGGACATGGCTATATCGTCATGAAATTTTACGCTGATGAAGAATATATATATATATATATACTTTATAGGGTCGGAAATGATTATTTCGATGAGTTACAAACGGAAAAACAAAATTAATATACCCTCCATACTATGGTGGAGGGTATAAAAAAGGGAGATATTTATTTACAGAAAGTATACATTTTTGAATTAAAATTAAAAAATTAAATTAAAAATTAAAAAAAAAGATTTTGAATAATTTTTGTGTTCGGTCATAAAAAAGCTGATCCAAAAATGGCTAAGTTTGCAAAATCTTACTGCATAAAATTCTTTCAGTAAACTCCAGTAAGTTTGTTGTTGAACTGTCAAACTTGCTCTCTCACTTGGCTCTCTTTTACTGGATTTTTGGGTAAACAGACAACATTTAGTAATATTTGGAAACAATTGTTACTAAATAACGAGTAAACTGACACAACTATTATTTCTCCCACGTTTCGTATCATTAACCCATTAAATGCCAGCTACATTTTAAAATTAAAACCCAATAAATCTAGTATTAATGTGGGGAACATTTTAAATATGTGCGATTTCCTGTAAAAATTCTGTTATTTTCGAAACATGTACATATGTATTTATTATTAATATTTATAATATGCTTAATTTCCTATTTAAAACAAATCTATTTTACAATGACACAATTATAATATATTCTACATGTAAACGTGTTTTGGTCCTGTCATACATATCTCATCGTCTATTTTTAAATTACTTTAGTTAATTATAATTATTATGTTAATTAAAAACAATTATGCTAATAACTACACATACCTAGATGCCATAGCATGACTTGTCGTTCAATTTCTGATATACACATCTCACATCGATGTTGTGAGATAACTACATGTGTTATTATTATCATTCATTTTTTTATAAACATTGTAATAATGTGAATTTTTTTATTAATTTACTTTTTCTATGTGTGGTACACTATACATACTGTTAAAATAATAATTTGTTATTATTTTTTTTTTTTAATATTGATTTTTTATATTTCAATTTAAGATGCCTTTTTGAAAATTATTTTTAGAAAACTATATTTATTCTGATTTAAAATCTCAAAGATGCCGTCATATTGGACCTACCACCAACAACTTAAATCCATTTTATAGTTTTTGGTAGAAATTTTTGCCAAATAAGAGTTGAGTTGAATTAATGTTAAGAGTCCACCAAAGACTCCATATTTGTCCCATTAACACGAACATTTACAAAGACTATCGGGATTTTTTTATTTCCATAAACTAGAAAAATTATGATGTTCACATAATTCTATAAACAAACATGTAAATAAGACTGAGATTTGAATGTTCTTTGTTTTACTACTTTTATACTTATTTCGAAGTATGTGTTTCAAAACCGACAACGGAAGATCGGTTCCGAGTAGTTATGTCCTATTAGTCAGGTATAACAAAGAAAATATTTATATAAATACATACAATATATCGTCATCATATGGTCTGTTCACGTACAGCAAGAATCTACTCCATTTTACTATTTTGTTCGATATCATAAAGGAAAAAGTGTTATCGTAGTAAAAAATAGTAGATTCTTGCAGTACGGGAACAGACCAATAGATAACTACAGAAAAATTCGAAATTGACTTTTTGTTTGATTATTGTTCGTCTAATCAAACTACATGTTCACACAAAAATTTAGACATCTAACGTCAAAAACAGCGATCTAATTAAAGAAATTCAAACGGACGTAACTACAGTAGTATGTTTTTATACCCTTCACCACACTGTGGTACAGGGTATTATGTCTTTGTGCATATGTTTGTAACAGGCAAAAGGAAACGAGATAGACACATGGTTCCTTTTGAGAATATGCATAGAATCACTTTCTGAGACGATTTATGCATGTCCGTCTGTCTGTCCATGTTAAATTGTAAACAAAGTACAGGTCGCATTTATGATCCGAATTGGATGAAATTTGCCACAGGTCACTTATTCGGCCCAAGGACGAACCCTATTGAAATTGGGAAAAAACCGGTTCAGATTTAGATATAGCTCCCAAATATATATTTGTCCGATTTAATGTAAACGGTCCCTATATATCATTCGATTTGCACGAAATTTGGTACAGCCTAATGATTTTGGTCTAGAATGATGTGTGCTAAGTTTCGTGAAAATCGATTTAGATTTAGATATAGCTCCCACATATATTTCCATCTGAATTAAGGTAAATAGTGCACCAAAGTCCCTAAATATATCTCGATTTGCAAGAAATTTGGCACAGCGTACTTAAGCCTAGAATGATGTGTGCTAAGTTTCGTGAAAATCGGTTCAGATTTGGATATAGCTCCCATATATATTTTTCGTCCGATTTAAGGTAAATGGTGCACCAAAGTCCCTAAATATCTTTTGATATGGAAGAAATTTGTCACGGCGCACTGGACTGAGCCTGGAATGATGTGTGCTAAGTTTCGTGAAAATCGGTTCAGATTTGGATATAGCTCCCATATATATTTTCGTTTGATTTAATATAATGGTAGTGTTACTGGGTTTTCTTGAAATTGGTTCAGATGCAGCCATATCTTCCACATGTATTTCGAACGGGTGTCCGATTGAAATTAAATTTTTAACAGTGCGGCGTAACGAATAGCGTGTATCAATTTTGCTATAAATCGTTTTCCATAAATTTGTCCCATGGTACGCAGTCGACTCTAAATCTGCCCGAATGAAATTAATATATCATAGTTTGCAGAAAGACATGAGTAAGTTCCTACGAGAGAACTTTGACATACAATTGTAAGGATATATATGTACAAAAAGGTGAAGGGTATCATATAGACGGCCCAGTCCGACTTCACTACTTTCCTTACTGATTTTATTAATGCAAACGGACGTAACTACACTCCTGTAAAAAACTAAAGCTCGCAATATTGAAGATAGAAATTCTGAACTTATATTAATGTTACTTCTGGGATGTTTGATATTGAAAATGAGATATATCAGCCATTTTTACGGCAGCCCCCATATAGCGGTATCCCAAATTTAAGGCTTTTCTTAATTTTTTTACTCATCAGCTATAATTAGGTATTTTTGTTTCCCAGTGGGTGGAAAAGTACCCTGTGCAAAGTTTTATCGCATCGGAGAAATAATTAATGTCCTTAGTGCAACATTTACATAAAATAACGCACGTCACTCCGGACTCAATTTGGTACACTGTACACATTTTAGTCTCATTCGGATAATTATTATTAATTTTGTTGTACTACAACTGAGTTGTAGTTACGTCCTTTTGTTTCAGGAAATATCAAGTCAAAAGGACGTAACTGACATAAAACCTTTAAAAGCCAAAATTTTTTTTTTCAAAAAATAAATACGGCTCTAGAGTGCGGTTAAACTATGAAAAAATTTCGAGCAATGATCCACTTTTATAGATTTCATAAAGTTTTTTTTTGCTTCTCCTGTAAAATCTGTAAAAGTGTAGTTACGTCCGTTTGCATTTATGATGACGATATATGTATATATGCTAGGTACCCAAGTATTTACATATGTGAAATAAATTTGCACTCCTTTAACTTCGGTCAAATTTAATATTCAACTCAAATCGATTGCTTCACTTCATTATTTCGGCCATTAGATCACGTATATACACGTCCAATTGTGAATAGTCTAATAGGGTGGTGCGTACAATATTCAACAGCATCATGGGCCATAGCTGTTCCAATTTGTGTAGTTTCTCTACGGCATGACAAGTATTTTCCATAATAATGGTGAAATGGATTTTACCACGTTCCCGTTGTGTTAATGTTGCCATAGATGACGATGCGCCAGCCACCACGTTACCTGGCGTAGATAATGAGCTGGATAATGAGGTAGTGTTGGCCTGTGTATACCAAGGTGATAGCGATGGCAGCGCAGACGATGCCGACGATGACACTAATGATTGTTGATTGAAATCACTGGCTGTTGCTGCCTGAAGAAATTGCAATTGTAATTGCCTCACCTGTTGGGGTGTGGGAAGGATATGTGGCTCTGGCTGTTGCGGGTGATGGTGGTGGTGGGGGTTGGCATGAATTGACTTTTTCCATTGCAGTGCCTCCTTGCCAACCACTAAACGTAAAGACCGGTTGTCCGGTTTCAGTAGCCATTGCTTGGGCAGCATTTTACTAGCCGAACACGACTCATCCAAACGTAAACGTGCCAGCAAGGGATGCAGCATTGCATCGGGCATTGACCAGAGTATCAAATCGGAAAGACCGGCATAAATGATGTTGGCCTGGTCAACATCTTCCGTTGTTACTTCGAGACCATTTAACGTTTTAAGACCCCAATGGGATAGGCGATAAATGGCATATTGGCGCCACAGTACTTTGTTGGTCAGCGGATTGCCCTCCGGATCGATATTGAGCGAGGTAAGGCCCTGCAGTTCGGCCAGAGCATTTAATTGGCCCAGACAATGGATGTTCGTTTCACGGAAAACGAAATGTTCGGCATGCGGGAAACGGACTTTTACGCGTGACAATATGGCTGTGATGTTATTGAAATTGATGTAGCTAAAATTTAAGGTATGAACATCATTGGCTTTTGTGGGATTCCACAGTTTGTCGATAAAACGCAAAGCACCCTGGCCATAAATGTTTAGATAACGACCACAAATCTCAATCAAATAATCACCGCCCTGCTCACGTTCACGTTCAATGGCAGTGACTTTCGATGATGTTGCTGTTACGCCATTGGAATTGGGATTTGTGCATGCCGGATATACTGTTGCTGTTGTAGTCATCGGGCTTAGCTTGTTGACATTCATTGTTGTTGTTGATGATGATGCTGCTGTTGAATTGCAGCTACTAGCTGGACTGGCATCCTCATTTACGGATGTTGATGGCATTATGTGGTGTGGTGAAGTTACATGTTGCTGGGGAACAGTTGCTGCTGCTGCGGCTGCCTGTTGCTGATTGCTTGCATTAGTCGTATTCAGTTTGGCCGATTGAAAGCGTAAAATGTTGCAGCTGTTGTTGTTATTGGTGGTCAAAATTGTGGTGGTAATGTTGACTTGGGGTTTATTGTTGCTGTTGCTCATATTGGCATTTGCTTTAATCGCACATCCTCCATTGAAGCCACCAGTACCCACAATTGTCTGTGATCTCATTAAAGGCACAGGTATATGACGTTTGCCCACAGAAGTTGCGGCTGCAGACGGCTTTGGCTTGGTCACTGACGTTGTAGTGGCCATCAATGACATTGGAGTATTTGAAGATGGATTTGCATTTATTAAGGATGTTTGATTTGAATTTTGAGTCTGATGCTGCGACATGTTGTGGCAGTCAGATGAGCCCAGAGGAAATTCAATGTTTAGAGTGGGAGCATTGATAGCCTTCGATTCGACGTTCATTTGATCGATGGGTGTATTTGGCGGTGATATTGCAGCTTGATTTGTTGGGTTCTTATCTTCTTCGGCCTCCTGTTCATCGGCAGATGTATAACAACTGGAAGACGAATTGACATTGGGCCCTAAGCTGGAGGCTGCGGACGAATTATGTTCATCCCTTGTAACGGACTTATCGTCGCTAGCCGTGGCTGCTTCTATGGGTGGTAGTTTTATAAATTCCTCATAGCTTTGCTCATTGGTTTCATTGATTTTTTCCAGTTCGTTGTTGTTGCGTTTATGGCCTTTAAATTTGTTGACACATTTGCCACTGCTGGTAGGGGTGGTGGTATTAGTAGTAGCTGATGGGGAATTTTGTAGGAATTGTTGAGACCTAAGTAGCTCCCAATTGGTACGGGCATTGGAAATAATTTCTTCACGCCGTATCAAATTGAAGGCTTCCTTATTGCCTTGCTGATTATTCTGCTGGCATAATTCTTTGTTGTTGCGCCAGATCATGGCTGCTTCGCGCACCTGCTCCGTTATGGGCATTTGACTAAGGCTTTGTAACTTCGGCAGGTGGCTAACCAGAAACGATACACAATCACCGGCCAGCGATACGGGATTATTTTCGATGGTGATTTCAATGATATTCGGTGCTTGGGCTACACTGGACATATCATCGACCTTGTGTAGATCGTTGTGACACAGCCACAGCCGTTCCAGGGCACACAGATGTTGAAAGCCATTAATGCGCTTTAATTTGTTTCGTTTCAAATTCAGCTCCTTGAGATTAGCAAGACCCATGAAATCGTTGTGATTGATTTGACGTATCTGATTGCCCGCCAAATTCAGGGACTTCAACTCGCGCAGGCAATTGATCTTATTGGCAATGGAGCATATTTTATTGCCATGTAGATCTAAGACTCTTAGTGTCGATTTTAGAGAACTCAATCCGGAAATGTCGGAAATGCGATTTTTACCCAAAAGCAAAACGCTGAGTGAGCGGAGACCATCCAAATTGGATATGCGTTCAATTTGGTTGTCATACAAGTCGAGAAAAACCAAGTTGCTGAAAATATTGCCATAACTGATGAGCAGTTGCTTGTTTTTTATTTCCAGTTCGGAGCTGGCGACATCGATGTTATGGTCCTCGTTTTCGGGACCGGGTGAGTCGGTGGTGTTAGACGAGATTGCAGATGCGTCGATGGTGCTAAGGGTGGTGGTGTTACTTGTGGTGGCTGTCGAAGAGGCCGAGTCGAAACTTTTTAAATTACCGAAATTCTCCAGTCTTTTGAAAACAGCTTTCGTGTTGAGATTTTTCAGGTTCCGTTTATTTAGTTGATATTGTAGTTGGAAATTGTTGACAAAACTTTTTGACTTACGCATTGAAAAACGCATAGAAGTGTTGCAGGCTAATTGTTGGTTGGTAGGTTGCTGTAGATTTAAGTGGTTTAAATTGGCGGAACGTTGCAACAGCTTATTTTTCTGTGTCGCCACATAGGAGGAGTTCAACTTTGCAGCGCCATACACATTACTTACATTGTTCAGTGCCATCGGGGAGGAGGAGGAGGATGGATGTACCAATGGTCGATTATTTAAATCATGAGATGGTGAATTTATGGGCAAACTAAATTTATCATGGCTTATTGGTAATTGGCTATTTAATTGGCGTTGGAGTTGTTGATTTTCCTTGGAAATGTCCATGTTCGCGTTCACTTTCGTTACCTGCTCCACCTCTTGCGTTTCCTCCTTGGGTATGTGGAATGTATTGATGAGATTATGCTGTAGCGACAACAATCGTAAATTTGGCTCATTTTCAAATATGGGTATTGCGGTTAGTCCACGCTTATCATAATTAATGCGATCGGGTAGCTTTTCCTGGTCTCTGGCATGGCGTTGTATGCGACAAATGCCATTGGGTTGCGGTATGACAATCGTACTGTTGGGGGTAGTACAGCTGGGTGGTGTAACCATGTTGAGTGCGCTCACTGTTGCCATAGATGTATTAGGCCGATTTGAGGCCGAGTTCGATGAAGATGTTGATTTGGAGCGTTGACGATTCATATTGCCACGCAGTGGTGGTCGTCTGCGTACATTGGGTGTTTGATGGGCGGCTTTCAATTTTAGCATTTTCGGCGTTGGCGAGGTTGTCAGTTTTCCAACACTGCTGCCATCATAATGGGAAGCTGCCGAACCTGCCAGATTTATGGCGAAATTTGTGTGCATGCGTTTCTTCAGGGCAGCTGTAGATAAAGTGCTATACGAACGTCTAATAGTCTTACTACTACTAGTATTGTTATTATAAGGTGGACGTGTGGCATTTAAACTAGGAACAAATGGTTCTATTTTCAGCAAACTTGTGGTTGTCATTGTGTTTCCCGTGTTCTGAGGTAGTACACTTTTATGGATGCTAATTTTCGCCATGGCAGTGTTTGTTACATGACCGGTTAATATTGGAACGGCTGCTATGGCAGCCATGCTGGTATTTTGTAATATTTTCTTAGCATTTGTTGCAGCAACAGATGCGAAATTTGACTTTTGCTTTTGTATTTTTTTGGGTGTGTCCTGATGTTGTAAAATATTGCCAGTAGGAGTGGGTGTGGTCGTGCGGTCAGTTGTTTTATTTGGTTTACCAGACAGCGGGGAATTTGTAATATTATATGCCTCATTGTTCGGATTGGAATTTTTTGTTATGGCAGATCTCACACGGATTTTTGATATAGACATTTCACAAATATGAAATGCAATACGATTTCGTAATCACATTTCCACCCGAAATATGGTATCAGCACTTGTTTTTTGATCTCATTTTTATGGTCCTTTGTGTGTCCCGTTGGCAATTTTCTATTGTGTTAACACAAACTCACATTTTTACTAAAAAAGGTGTTGGTCATTGTTTTAGATTAGTAGATAACTAGTTTTTTGCTATTGATCAATTCAATACAATCAGCTTTCTTTTACAAAAGAATTCTGAAATTTTATTGTTGTACAATTGTCCTGAACTCAGTAACTGAGATACTAGATATTAGTGAATAAAATTCTGACTGACAATATGAGTTTTCTTTTAATATTTGTTTGTTTGACGTTGTGCCTTTATTTGTATGTACGGTTGCTATAGTTTTTCCCCTGTGCTGAACTAGAAATACAACAAATCATTCATTTAATTTTGTTTACATGTCATACACTGGGGCCAAACGAAATTTCGACACACATCAAAAAGGTAAAGCCGAGTTCATAAACGGTACGGTCGGGCCGAACTTTTTATAATAACCTCCACCATGAGGTGTTGCGAACTTTCAGATACTCAACGTACCAACAACAACTTAAAACGTCTTTAAGTTCGGCCGGGCCGAACTTTTCATGTCGCGCTTTCAAAATTCCTTAAATCGATCGAAACCTTTATATGGTGACTATGTTATTGCTTTATGTGGGGGTAGATTTGTCATGCTCTGAAAAAATTATGTTCTAAATTACAGACTCTCAGGTCGAAAATGTGCGGTAGGAACTTCAACATACCGAAAATTAAACGAAACATTTGTATGGAGGACCTCCTTTTAGGTGGTCCACTTTTTAACCTTTATTGAATAATTTCTGAAAAAAGGTCAGGAATTGATATGCCAAATTATATCCACTTTGATGAAAAAACTCGTTTTTAATATAAAATATTTAATTTTGGCCCACTTTTTCGGGTAACCGCCTTAAAACAGCGCCTCCCAAATTTCGGTACTAGGGATTTTGGGTAAGGTTTTCAATTAAAAGTTTGTAGGCAGAAAATCTCCCTATTATATATTAATGATATTAGCTAAAGATTCGGAGCAGCCCCTATATAACAGTAGCTCCATTTGTGATCAATATCTTGTCTCGCATTGGTAGGATCCCCGTATAATGGTATACCTAAACATTAAATGAAATCTATATATCGTATATATATATATATATATATATGGGCAATATTGCCAATTTTTTAACATAGCTGGGACAAAATTACCTTTAAATCGGGAACTAAAATATATATAGTTTTGGGTTAATTGATCTGTCCAAATCTGATATTGACCTCCAAACTTTATTTTGGTACATTTCAAAACTTTAAAAACACGTGCAAAATTTGTGTCAATTTTGTGTAAAATAAAACTAGAAAAATATATATGTAGAAGCTATATCAAAATCTGAACCGATTTCAATGAGAATGGCAGAGGTTAACTTATATTAACTACAGTTTATTGTACAAAATTGTGTGGGTCTTTAGTGCACAATTTACATAAAATCGGAAGAAAAATATATAGGATCTATATATAAATCTGATCCGATTTTCAGGAAACTTTACACACATCACTCCAGACTCATTTCAGTACACTATGCCAAATTTTTTGCAAATCGAAATATTTATAGGGACTTTGGTACACCATTTACATTAAAAATTGGAAAGAGAGAATATATATGTGTGAGCTATATCTAAATCTTGAAATGGTATAGATCGATTTTTTTTTAAGGTGCACCAATTTCAATGGTTCGGGAATTATTGGCGTTTTACGATTTTTTGGGCTTCAATGTAACGTGACCTGTGCCAAATTTTCGCAAAATATATATCGGATCATAAATACGACTTCTGTACTTTGTTAACAAAAATGCGCATCAAACGATTTTGAGAATTACGCGATTTACACGCAATTTAAAATGTATATTTCATAATATTATTTTATTTTAAGATTTATTCCTATTTATAGAATTCTAAGATTTATCAGAAGGGTCTTGATATAATCCGCAAGGCAAACTTATACACAAAAAGTGATTATTATTATATATGTCAATTTTTCGGTGAAATTCGGGTAAAATACAAAATAACCCCAAAATTTTTTTCTGAAATTTCTTGTTTACAATTAAAAAAATAAATATGATGACATTATTTTTTCGAACCAAAAACAAATAGTTTTCCTCAATATCTTGTTTTGTTGTCGCTGTGATTTACAAACCGCTACACGGACTTGTGTGATTTTGATATCATTTGATTCATCATGGCGTTTAGATTATGTAGATATTTTTAAATTAATTTTTAGGTGTGTGTATGTCATTAATATAATGAAAATATTGATGTAATCTGCTATATTTTTTTTTATCTTTTTTCATATTTCGCGAATATGTGCAACTTTATCGTGATTATTATAATATATTCATATTCTTATTTTACGGAGGAAGATATATATCAACGTTTTTGGTCAATATAATAAACGGCGTAATTTTAAGATTTTTTTCTTATGCCCAAAATTAAAACCTCGATAACTTTTGCGCGCATCAACCAAAAATTTGATCGCGAACGGTTTCGGAGTCAGAACATTTTTCTCTATATGTGTACCAAAAATCATTGATGTGCCACAAAAACAAAAAAGCTGATTTTTTGAAAATGGAATATTAAAAAATTGGCAATATTGCCCATATATATATACATATATATATATATATATATATATATATAAATATATATCAACCCAGACCTAATTCAGTACGCTGTGCAAAATTCTGTCTTAATCGGACAAATATTGGCAGTATGGTGTTCCATTTAATTAAAATCGGACGAAAATATATATGGGAGCTATGTATAAATCTGAACCGATTTCAACAATATTTCGCGGATGTCGACCTGCAGTAATTTCAGGACGCTGTGCATGCCGACTATGTGATACCTTTGACCACTTTGGGTACATACAAGAGATGTTAATATCTACAATATCCTGTAGATAGAACAGACATAGAATCTTTGGAGGATCATTGGGATGGAATCGGGCGAAAACAAATTTGCTATCTAGATAGATATTTGAACCAATTGAAAAAGCTCATACACATACCATTCTGAAATCAATAAAAAATTGCATGTCAAACGGACAGACTTGGATTCTTTGGTGTACCATTTGTATGGAATCGAGTAAAATTATGTATGGGAGCTATATAAAAACCATTGTTTTTTGTTGTCACTCTATATTCAATTTAAAAAATATATATAAGACCTATATCAAAATCTGAACCGATTTCAACAAACCTTATCACACATCATTTTTTCATCAATTGCATTTTCTATGCAAAATTTTGCTCAATCGTACAAATATTGAGAGTTTGGTGTATCATTCACAAAAAAATCGGACGAACATATATATGGGAGCTATATCTAAATCTGAACCGATTTTAACAATACTTCGAAGACATTAGTGTGAAACTAATTCAGCACACTGTGAAAATTTTGTCTCAATCGGACAAATATTGGGAATTTGGTGCATCATTCACATAAAATCGGACGAAACTATATATGGGAGCTATATCTAAATCTGAACACATTTTAATTAAACTTCGCAGACTTCAGTCTGGACCTAATTCAATACTCTGTGTAAAATTTTGTCTCAATCGGACAAATATTGGGAATTTGGTGCATCATTCACATAAAATCGGACGAAACTATATATGGGAGCTATATCTAAATTTGATCTGATTTCAACAAAACTTCACATACATCAATCTGGACCTATGTCAGTACTCTGAGCAAAATTTTGTCTCAATCGGAGCAATATTGGGAGTTTAGTGCAGCACTTATATAAAATCTGACGAAACTATAATTAATCTGACGACCTGTAATTAGTTCACAAAAATACATGGACGGACGGACAGACAGACGTACGGACATGCTTAAATCGACTCAGAAAGTGATTCTATGCATATTCTCAAAAGGATTATCTCTATGCACAAAGACATAATACCCTGTACATAGTGTGGTGAAGGGTATACAAAGAGATAAAATATTGCATACTACAGGCGACCATTATTACAGTAAACACCGGTCTCCCCGATTTTCGGTATTTGGAGGATTTTGCATACGTTTTTAAAACCGAATTGAATGCTCGAGTCTACCATGTCAATGAAGTTATCAATGCTTGACTTCGTTTTCTTCGTAACTCGATCACCATTCGAAACAAACGACTTATGGAAGACCACAGAAACGTTGATGATAATAAATGAAATGAAATGTGAAATAGCCTGAAAAGTTGTTCTGCGTGTACTTATGTATGTGCGTACATATGTAAATATAATTAATTTTCGTATCGGTTGGTGGCCAATCTGTTACTGTCTGTAGAAAAAAACCGCAGCGGATATTCACCGTAAACCATTGAAAGATTGTCTGTTTTCATTATCATTGACCAGCAATGCAAGGCAAGTCGTTCACATAAAAATCTGACTCAGATAGTTAGTTCGTATACTGACAATTAAAAAAAAATGCCGCGTTGTGGTTATGACAAAGAGTTCACAGTTTTACAGATTCGTATGCGAATTATTTGGCGTGTAAAAAAAGAATTAAACCGAGTTATGGTTATCGGTGGCAATGCTGATCTTCCGAACAATCATATGAACTGTTGATTATGGTGCTGCGGATGATGTTTACCATATTCATTTCTTTGCATTTTCTCTTTTTTAATTTAAAGCTCACAACGCACTCTAAATATAATGTTTTGTTTATTGTTATTGAAATGAATCCAAGGATGCGAACAATTGTCGATAGACGTGTACAGTGGTCGGTCAACAACGACATTTGTTCGGTGTTACAAAGAAATATGATTTATAAGGGTTCATATCGGGTATTCCGTTCATATGGGATATTTAATAGTTCTTAGGATTGCTAAAACCCAGCAAGTGTACATATTTTTGAAAAAAAATGATTTACTTTATTTAATTCATAATTTTATATTAACAGATAAAATTAAAAATACCAGTCTATTTGAATATTTAAAAAACGTCTACATACAACAACATAAATAGTTTACCACATTAAAAAACATATAATCTCAAAACCATTTCTTTATTGTGAAATGGAAGAATTAAACATCTCTTTAGTATTTAGTGATTGTGCAAGATCAGCTTCGTCTATGGTCCCTTGACAGACCAAAGGAAAAGGCCATTCATGGCATATGGTGGGTCCATTGTAATCTCTAAGCGTTTGTATTAGATTGTCCAGACGTTGTACTTCCATTAGATCGGCATTCAGTTCTTTAACGTCGTCTATCAGTTGATTGACATTCGATTCGATTACCTAAAAGGAGAATAGAAAACAAAAAATATTTATGTAATTACAAAAAAAAGTTATTACTAAAAAAACTCTTTATAATTATTTATAATTTTATAGAAAAAAATATATAATTACAAAAAAAAAAAAAAAAAACAGCAAGGAAAGTAGTAAAGTCGGATGGGGCCGACTATATGATACCCTTCACCACTTTGGGTATATTCGACAGATGAATCCTAACAGTCGTCGCATTTTTAAAGGAACATTAACCTATACCAAATTTTTAATTTGGTCAGCTATAGAAGCTATATGTAAATCTGAACCGATTTCAACGATTTCAGAAAACTTAAACCAGAAATGGTCCGTCAGAAATAGTGACGTAAATGATATACATTTCCCACGTATAATACATACGTCAGAAACATCGGAAACCCACCAAAAACCATTAGGTTTTTGACAAAATAGCTTTTTAAATTAATCAATTTGGAAATTACGTACGTGCTTTACTCAAATCCATATCAAATTTCAAAATTTTCTTCTCCAAAAAGTTTAAAATTTTTCATCAGTTCTACACCTTTTTCACATGTTATTCAAAACATATCAAATGTAATTCAAGAATTCCATTTGTAATTCACAACATACAATTTGCAATTTGAGAATTCCATTTGCAATTCATAACATATCACTTGTAATTCGAGAATTTCATTTGTAATTAATATAATACCTTTCGAAATTCACAAATTTCCATTTGAAATTACAAGTAATGTATTTGAAATTCAAAAAATTCTATTTGAAATTAAAAAAATTCCATTTGAAATTTAAATAATTCCATTTGAAATTCTTAACTTTTGATTTGAAATACATAACATTTCATTTATTTTTCATAACTTTTTTGTTTTAGCAAAATAGTCAGGCTGAATCCCAGTTTGTTGTTTTTATAAAAAACAACTATTTATTAGTGGGGAATGTATGGCATTGTCCGCCAAGGCGTAAGGCAGGGAAGACTATAGTTTCGGATCTTGCCGCTGATCCTCATCAGTTCCCTTAGTTTTTTGTTGGGATATTCTCCCCAGAAGCTATTTATAGCTTCTTTACAAAAAACCTTTCAATCCCAAATGTCTCTTGTGACAATTCGAAGTTCTTACGTTACCAGCGATACGACCCCAATGAGAAGTTCGTTTCGTTGGCGCCTGACTTCGTGTCAACTTCGTAAATTCATTACGCTGCGCCAAATTTCGTGCAAACCGAAAGATATATAGGGACTTTGGTGCACCATTTACATTAAATCGGACGAAAATATATATGGGAGCTATAACTAAATCTGAATCGATTTTCAGGATACTTAACACACATCATTCTATACCTAATTCATTACGCTGTGCCAAATTTCGTGCAAATCGAAAGATATATAGGGACTTTGGTGCATCATTTTCATTAAATCGGACGAAAATATATATGGGAGCTATATCTAAATCTGAACCAATTTCAATTGGGTTCGTGACCTATGCCAAATTTTATCTAAATCGGATCATAAATGCGACCTGATTTTCATGAAACTTGGCAGACATCATTCTAGGCTCAATTAAGTACGTTATGCCAAATTTCCTGCAAATCGAAATTGGATGAAATAAAATATGGATATATAAATGTGAATCTACCTAGATCTATCCATAAAGACATTGGGGCATGTCCAAGTACCTAAAATTTGATGTCATGAAATCGGGAAGCTCTATCCAAATATAAAGCGATTTCAAACAAACTTGTCACAGGTTAGGATATACTAATTTCAGAACGTTTTGTTCCTAGCTATATCTATAATAAAAGGGAGCTGTATCTAAATCTGGACCGATTTTCACGAAACAAGGCAGACATCACTTTAGGCCCACCATCGCCACCACAGCGCCCGCGGGCGCTTTCTGTGTGCATCATTCTAGTTTTGCTCACCATTAATTCCAGTACGGGATTACTCGTATGAGCAATTGATGAAGGAGCTTGTGTTGTCGCTTGTTTCTTAAATAAGCACGAAAAATGATCACCACGGGCCTTGTCTGTGAGACAAACACAATCAAAGCAAATGCATATGTGGTGGTTGGTTAACCCTGCTTTAGGCTCAATTCAGTATATATTTCGGCAAATCGAGATATATAGGGACCATGAAATCGGACGAAACTATATATGGGAGCTATATCTAAATCTGGACCGATTTTCCTGAAACTTGGCAGACATCACTCTAGGCTTAATTCAATACGTTATGCCAAATTTCGTGCAAATCGGAAGAAATATAAAGACTTTGGGCACCATTTACATGATATCGGACAAAACTATATATGGGAGCTATATCTAAATCTGGACCGATTTTCACGAAACTTGGCAGACATCATTCTACACTTAAATGATTAGGCTGTACCAAATTTCGTGCAAATCGAAAGATATATAGGGACCGTTTACATTAAATCGGTTAAATATATATATGGGAGCTATATCTAAATCTGAACCGATTTTTCCCAATTTCAATAGGGTTCGTCCTTGGGCCGAATAAGTGACCTATGCCAAATTTCATCCGATTCGGATCATAAATGCGACCTGTACTTTGTTTACATTTTAACATGGACAGACAGACAGACGGACGGACGGACATGCATAAATCGACATAGAAAGTGATTCTATGCATATTCTCAAAAGGAATCATGTGTCTATCTCGTTTCCTTTTGCCTGTTACAAACATATGCACAAAGACATAATACCCTGTACCACAGTGTGGTGAAGGGTATAAAAAACAACTATGCACGTGTGGCCAAAAATAAAATAAATATTCGCAACAAAAATAAAATAAATATTCGCAACAAATGTTTGTGTTTATTTGACATTTTTCAACTAAAAACGCGAAAAATGAATGAAAGGTTATGATTTCTTCCCAAAATCCAGTAGGGAATACCATAAAATGTTTGTTTCATCCATAACAAAGTAATTACTTCCAGACGAACGTGTTAAAAACTTTATTTTCATTTCAATTAAACTTGAGTTTATTTCAATTTATTTTGAATTTATTTGACATTGTATTCAAAACAATACACACACATACATAAAATATGTATTTTGATTTGATTGAACAAGCCACCTTGAAAAGAAATTGTGATCAGAAGTACCTGTGCCCTACCTTGTAATAATTATACCATGCCCTGTACACAGTGTGGTACAAATAATTACAAAAAAATCTTTATACACTCGAACATGAGGATGACATTCAAAATTTTCAATATGGGGCATTTGGGTAATGAAATTATTTTTTTTAGTACAGAGATCGTAGGGGCTAAACATAAACATGGTTTGTAAATAAGCAATAAATAGCTTCTGGGGAGAATATCCCAAGAAAAAACTAACGGAACTGATGAGGATCAGTAGCGAGATCCGAAACTATAGTCTTTCCTGCCTTACCCCTCGGCGGACAATGCCTGACTATTTTGCAAAAAAAATGGTTCAATATTAATAATTTTTAGTACAAGCATGTGCTATGAAATGTGGACCCAAAATACCAAATCAAACCCAATTCGTTAGAAAAACGAATTGGACCCCTATGTGAGGGCTGAAAAACATGTCCAAAATCGCCTAAAAACCGAATATAACCATTATATGGCAACGTCTGTGCAAAACTTTAGAGCTCTATCATAAATATCATGATTTCAACAGATGGACAGACAGAAAACGGGTACCCATAAATCAACATAGAATTTTATTTGGATAAAGAATATACTATTGATAAAGAATATATTTTTAACACTGCGATCGACGAAACTATCCGATTTTTGGTTTTTGTGGAGTTTTTTTTTTTCAAATACAGCAGATTAGGATTTTCAGCCAAATAAAACCCAATTTTTATAATTTTTTCAAATTAACTTTTAACAAAATCCGATCTAAAGTAGGCACCGCCTTCAAAATAATATTTCGAGAAAAAACAAAAACACTGGCATAAGCGTGTTATATCTGAGGAGGATTACAATGAAGGAGACAATACAGTAAGTCCTTGACGGATTCTGATATAATTTAAATATTTATAGTCCAACCAACTTTAAAGAACTTTTAAAAAAAGTTTTATTTCGGAAACAAATTCGGAAATAGCAGTTTAAAGAATCTTATTTGTGGTTGTGGAATCGCCATTCCAAATTTTTAACAGTCACCTTGAAACTTACTTAAGGGGAAACACATAGGAGGATTCCGGATTTGTCTGTTAAGTTGGCTTTGTATGAAATATCAATTTATAAAGGAATATCAGAGTAAAACTTCATTTTGTACGCCGTTCTCCTTGACTCTTTTACAATAAAAAAAACATGCCAAGTCTGAAGTAATCTTATGTGTTTCACCCTTTACTCTGATAGGTTTACGTTGTCTATTTGATTATGGGGGTATAAAACGGCATTTACATTATAACTTTTTACCGGGTTAACCTACTTTATTAGGATTTATTTCACATTTATGCAATGAAATGAACGTACTGTAACAGGTCCGAGCTGACCGCTCTTAAATTCCTTTTTTACTTGGTTTACCCCTTTTAATTGTTGTTTGATATACATATATTTTTTTACAAAAAAGGGAATGCACACTGACTGCAATATAATACTTTAATGTGAATTTTTTAATTAAAATGTCAGGGGAACATTGGCCGAATCCAATTTCTGTCAAATTATGTAATTGCGAGAATTAAAACGACCATCCAATTGCCAAACAGTAGACGCTTATATGGATTAATTCTGTTTCCAATGAAATGGTTTACAAAAAATAATTGGTTGTGTTTCACGAGATGATTTAAAGCATGCAATTATTTTGTATTGAAAACAATAAATAATAAATTGAAACTATATAAAAGACTATTATCGGAATGTCAATTCTACACTACCATTACCATGGAAAAATAAAAAAATGGGTGTAGAGCCAAAGTAAATGGAACAATTGATTTTCAGAATACTTTTACTAAGGACAATTTTTCTGGAATTTTTAAGGTATTTATAACCATGAGGTGGACATTTAAAGTACCTTAAATCGGATCAGTTTGTCATTGTAAATTACTGTCAGGAGAAAACGAAATATCAAACTACTCATTTTAAAGTTGGAAAATTGGTCTGAGGCCTTGAACATGCCGAAATCCTTAATCTTTTTTTTTACTTTAAAGGTGGAAACACATACGAAGATTCAGGCCTGCCTTATTAAGTCGGCTTCGTATGAAATGTCAATTTGTAAAGGAATATCAGAGTCAAACTTGAATTTGGACGCCATTCTCCTTTATTCTTTTACAATAAAATTAAGTTGGTTTCTTTTATTGTAAAAGAATAAAGGAGATTCCTCTTATCTGTTTCTACCTTAAGAAAAAATTGAAATTTTTTTGAAAATAAAAAAATTGGTTTCGTTGCGGACTATACTGTCCGAAACCGAAAATTCAAACGGATTTCGAAATAGGATGGATTTCGAACTAGGTTTATTAACATCGCCAACCAATACAACGGTACACCAAAACCCCATATAACGTTACTCCAAAATATTCGGAAGTTTGGAAAATGTTTTAAATCGATTAAATTAAATTGTTTAAATCGATTGTTCGCCAACATTTTGCATAGATTCGTCTTTTGTCGGCAGACAGGTCAAGTTCGAAGATGCGCTATATCGGTCCACCTTCGGAAATGCAATGGATATATTTATATTGGACCCGAAACGCATAATTCTGTGTAATAATGCATTTTTTTACAATGGAAAAATTAGAAATGCGTGCTTTCAGAGTAAAAAATTGAGGATGCGTCTTTTTTGAACACCAGTTTCTATATGTAGGAGCTGCCAGATCGAAACAAAATTTAACATGTGTTCATAACAGAGATGGAAGTTTCCAAAACATTTATTTTTGTTCTGTTCATACCGCGTTTTTTGTGCTAGACTAAGAACTTTCCGAACTGCTCTCGTATGATAGACTACAGGGGGTGCCACATACGAAGATTTCAGGCATGCATTATATCAGAGTCAAACATGAATTTGGATGTCGTTCCTCTTTATTATTTTTCAATTAAACAATGTCAACTTAACATGCCATGCCTGAAATCCTCCTATGTGTTACCTCCTTAAATTGTAAATTGTAAAAGTGTGTCATATGCTCATATACATAAATGAAAAAATTATAATAAAATGCAAAATAAATGAAAATTATTTTAATATTTACCAAAATGTCAATGTGCAAATTAATTACGCATTGTAATATTTGACGCACACGGTTGCGTAGCTTTTCAATTGTCAAAAGATGTCGCTTTACACTGGACGTTGACGGTGACATTGATATTGACAGCGACGTCGACGACGATGACAGCATTTTTACATCTGATAGTTTTGCTTTCATTGTTCTTCCGGTAGCGACTGCAGCGGCGACAGTTGTTGCACTTGTGGATGCACCCGTTATCGTCGGTTTTGTTGTAATATCTGGTGTCATGTTCGCTGTTGAAGCATAAAAGTGCCCTTAACCATTTGTTGTTGCTGTTATTGTTGTGATTGCATATGTCGAGGTTATTGTTGCTATCCGTTATTTATTTGTTATTATTGTTATTTTTCTTGTTCTTATTATAGGTCTGTTGTTTTTGTTTCTCTTTTATTCTGTTTTTGTTTTTTAAATGACGTGTTTATATCAGTGTTCGAAAATGTCCATTATGTTACCATACCATCACGTTAAGTACTGTATACCAATATGAAACCAGTAAGGAAAGTAGTAAAGTCGTACTGGGCCGACTATATGATACCCTTCACCACTTTGGGTATATTCAACAGTTGTATCCTATATAGGGACTTTGGTGCACCAATTACCTTAAATCGGATGGGAGCTATATCTAAATCTGAACCGATTTTCACGAAACTTAACACACATCACTCTAGACTTAATTCAGTACGCTATGCCAAATTTCGTGCAAATTTACTTAAATCGAGCAAAACTATATATGGGAGCTATATCGAAATCTGAACCGACTTTCACGAAACTTTGCAAACATCATTCTAGAACTTATTCATTACGCTGTGACCTATTTACCTAAAATCGGGCGAAAATATATATGGGAGCTATATCCAAATCTAAACCGATTTTCAGGAAACTTAACACACATCATTTTAGACCTAATTCATTAAGCTGTACCAAATTTCGTGCAAACTTAAAGATATGTAGGGACTTTTACATAAAATCTGGCGAAACTATATATGGGAGCTATATCTAAATATGAACCAATTTTCACGAAACTTTGCACACATCATTCTAGACTTAATTCAGTTCGCTATGCCAAATTTCGTGCAAATCGAATGATATATAGGGACTTGGGTACACCATTTACCTTAAATGGGACGAAAATATATATGGGAGCTATATCAAAATCTGAACCGATTTTTCCCAATTTCAATAGGGTTCGTCCTTGGTCCAAACAAATGAGCTGTGCCAAATTTAATCCAATTCGGATTATAAATGCGACCTGTACTTTGTTTACAATTTAACATGGACAGACGGACGGACATGTATAAATCGACTCAGAAAGTGAATCTATGCATATTCTCAAAAGGAACCATGGGTCTATCTCAATTATTTTTGCCTGTTACAAACATATGCACAAATACATAATACCATGTACCACAGTGTGGTGAAGGGTATAAAAACGAAATATCTAACCTCGACATACTCTCAGGTTGGAAAATTGGACTAGGATCTAGAACATAACTAAATCATTGAAATTCTAAAAAAATAGGTTAAGGTTATAAAGGGACTATAACAAAAGTGGACAGATATTGATAGATGTTGGTAGGCAGATTTGATGAGAAACCAAATTTAGGAACCACTGTCCTGGGAGTGCTAGCAATGCACGTATACAATTTCGAACGCTCTATTTTTTGTAAGTGAACTTTATCGTTATTTCAATAGATAGTACATGGCTAAATCAAAAGAGAATTTTATGCTGATACGTTGCATATATCGAGGTGTTGTGATCGGAATGACAAATATACAATAATATATAAGTTGTCGGTACGTTTTGCTGGTCCGAATTTTATATACCATTCTCCATTTAAGGAGCATACAAAATACCTTAAATCGTTCGGGACCTGCATATGGGGAACATGTTATTGTAAATTTGTTGGCAGTAGGATGTTTATGCTTAAAAAAATATTACGTTCCGAAAATTATTTATGACTGTTCGTCCGTCTGTCCACGTTGAATTGTAAACAAAGTACAGGTCGCATTTATTTATGGTCTGAATTGAATGCAATTTGGCATTGATCACTTACTTGACCCAAGGACGAACTCTATTGAAATTGGGAAAAATCGGTTATGATTTAGATATAGCTCCTGCATATTTTATCGACCGATTTTAAGTAAATAGTGGACCAAAGACTTAAAATATGGCCGATTAACAAAAATGTTTTCAAAACGTACTAATGTGTGAAGTATTGCTAAATCGGTTCAGAAGTCTAAAAAAAGACCAATGATATCAAATAGTCGGCCCGTCCAACTTTACTACTTTCTTTAATGTTTTCCGGATTTTACAAAAAAAAAAAAAAAAAAATTAAAAATGTTACCATTTTTTTTGCATGGAAACATATTCAATGTATCGGTACCTGGGTTACTTTTCGAACACTGCTTTATATTTCCGTTTCACATATTTCTTTTTTGTATTTTTCACCTACGAATAATTTCCATTGAGATGTCACAATTTCAATAACAATGCGATGTGGTTGTTATTTGTCACACATCTCTTTTTTCAACAAACATACACCCATACATATGTTAAGAGTATTGGGTAATTTGTGGATTCCAATACGATAGAATATCATGTGCGGCAAAAGTTATTGGGTTGTTCGGAAGCAAAACCAACAAGTGTAGTAGATGTTTAGTACAGTCGGATCGAACTTTTCATATTCGCCAGCAATTTTTTTAAACTTACATGGACCGGTATAGCCCACTATTGAAATTCAGCTCCCTAACTCAATTCCTTCGAAAGATAGGCCGGGGCGAACATTTTATACCCTCCACCTCGTGGGGTGCGTTCAAAATTTCTTAAGTCGATCGGGACATATGTATATACAGGGGGACTATATTATGGTGTTACGTGGTAGTAGGGTGGTTGTTTATGCTCCGAAATAATTGTGTTCCAAATTACAAACATTCTAGTTGGAAAATCTAAACGGGACAATATTAAATTTATTTTCCATTCACCATGACTCCGATATCACAAATTACCGAAAAACAATCGGTTGGAAAATGCCGCTAAATACTTCAAAATTACGAAAATGAGATGTGAGAGCTACACCGAACCATCCAATGTTGATCGTTTCTGTTAGGGACATTTTCTACTCAGTGTAACGTTATATGGGGGGCTACCCTTAAAAGTGTGACAATTTTTATCATTTTCGGCAGGAAGATTTGATACCGAATGGGAACCAAACATAATAAATTACAGACAATTACGGTTGAAAAAGTACCATAATATCGAATATTTGAAGGTACCGTTATATGGGGGCGATACTAAAACGTAGACCGATATACTTCATTTGCAATACCAACCATCCTATAATAACAAGAATTTTAATCAGGCCGGGAATATATACGTTATGGGGTCTCCGATAAATATTTCGATGTGTTGCAAACGGAGTGACGAATTTATTATATGCTCCTCCATAATGGATGTCGTGGGTGTAGATTTGGTTATAGCTCCCATACATATTTTCCATCTGTTTCATTATACCCACTGTGGTACAGGGTATTATGTCTTTGCGCATATGTTTGTAAAAGGCAAAAGGGAACGAGTTCCTTTTGAGAATATGCATAGAATTAGTTTTTGTGTCGATTTATGCATGTCCGTCCCTACGTCCGTCTGTTCATATTAAATTGTAGACAAAGTGCAGGTGGTATTTATTATCCGAATGAGATGAAATTTAGTCCAGAACGTTTTTTTTTTGGTCTAACGACGAAACCTATTGAAATTTGTGACATGGGTTCAGATTTAGATATAGCTCCCATATATATTTTCGTTTAAAGAGTCAAATTTAGGCCGATTGGTACGACATTTTGAACAAATTACTGAAGTTAGGATAGCTTAATGTATTCCAAGTTCTATTAAAATCGGTTTAGATTTAGATAAAGCTCCCATATGTAGTTTCATCCGATTTTTAGCACCATAGAGTTAAAGTGTATCCCATTGACAAACCATTATGAGCAATGTATCGAAATGAGTCTGCAATAACATCTGATAAGTTTAGATTAAATTGGTTCAGATATAGATATAGCTCCCATATATATCTTAGTCCGATTTAAGGTGAATGGTGCACCAAACTTTTCATGGTTGTTGGATTGCCATAAAATTTTGCACAACATTCTAAAGTTAATATAGCCTAACATGTGTTATGTGAAGGTATTAAAATGAGACTAGAATAGTGTGTTTTGTAAAAATTCATTCAGATGCAAATATTGCTCTTATATATATTTTCGGCTGACTTCATGTTAATTGTGCACCAAATAATGAACTGGTGTCCAATTGAGATTATTTTTTGAACAACGCCCCGTGTTGTCGTATAATTAATAGATTGATTTAAATTAATTTGCATTATTTTGTCCCGACTCTAAATCTGCCATAATGAAATGGAATTTGGCATAGGTTACCGAGGACATGTGTGCGGATTGATGTACCAAATTTTAGCGGATTCGATTGAAAAATGCGCTCAAGAACTCCAAAAAAGTGGACCGATATTTATATATAAATGTATATATATATATATATATATCTTATAGGGTCGGAAATGATTATTTCGAAAAAATGTACCCGGTAACTGATCGCAGGTTTAAGTCGGTTCACATATAGACACAGATCACATATATAATTTAGTCCAATTTCATGTCAATGGTCCTTCAAAAATGCGAATATAGCCAAGGTGGTAAAGGGTGTCATATAGTCGGCCCCATTGACTTTACTCCATACACTTCTAAATAGCGAATCGACCCGACCCAAACTCATCCATTTTACCAAAATTATATTAGGCGACATTGATTGCGGCAATTGTCAGTTTGTGGGCGAAAGAGTTGAAAAACAAAATATAGATTGTAAATCCGGACTTATATTTGGAATGAATCGAAATTCCTTTTCAAACCCGTATCGAAAATCATTGTAACAATTTGGTTTCCGCACAACCTAATAATTCCATTCTTGAAAATTGTTTTCGTATTTCATTTCACCTGCTATAATAACGGTAAGGCAATGATATACATTTGTACATATTTTTTCACAGTATTGCTACTAATATTTGTTGTTGTGGTTATTATTGTCTGACGGTTGGTGAATAATGCATTTCTAGATTGTGATTTATTCAAGATCAAGTTGTTGTTTCGTAGTTCAAATCACAATACAGTTTTGGTAACGGAATTTATTTATATATTTTATGGAAATGCAGGTGTATATTCCGAAGCAAAAA